AGATGAGGAGGAGAGAGAGTGAGAGAGAGAGAGACGACAGAGAAGAGACAGTGAAGAGATAGGAGCGCGCGACGCCAGATCAGATTATATACGAATTCAATGATGACATTTAAAAATCGAAGCATCTGATAGACCTAAAACTCTTGATATAATTTGGTTAATGCAATACAGAACAGCTTACGCGCTAGAGAGTGTTAAAGTTTAGAGGTTATGTAGGTATGTTATCGTGACTTTTCTTGTAATCGTTCATGAAATGTTACGCAATTGATATCAGAAGTCTGTCTGATATAAATGTACGCGCAGTTAAGTGTAGGACGCATTTGTAAATGTTCAGGATAATGATGAGAGGAGAAATGAAATTTGAAACATCCACACACTAGCTACATCCACATTTATCCTGCACCCACTCCACTGCTATCCGGACTTCCGACATGTCTTAGTTGGATTCATTCATTTATATGGGATATAATTTCCCACTACCCTAGGCTTATGTAGGAACTTGATAGAATCGTATGATAATTGGGTTTCAAACAAATCTGGCATTCCAAACGTCTAATTTCGCATTTAGTCGACGTTTCCCCCCCCCCCCCGCTTCAATTTACAACTTAGTTTAGGGTTGTGTGTTATGGGGCTCCAGTGTTATAGGGCAACATGGTCCCGCGCAGCAGAAACTGCTGTCTCGTTATCTCGTCACTTTATGTGTATATTTACTCTCAAACATAGCATGCCCAGTTAGCGCAGGCAAGTTGCTGCTAAAACCTTCGTCTTTTGATCTAGCGGGGAATGGACTTATAGGGGGCCTGTTGTCAGAAGCAAAACTCGTCTTCGCCTAAAAAAAAATCGCTGTTATGTAAGATATTTTGTTTCTTGCAACGGTCCCTGGAAACCCTGTCCAATCCAATATATGCTCTGCATAACAAGGTGGTTAAGGGAGCTCACATATTGCTGGGCTACAAGGGAGCTCACATATCTGCTTGGGCTAATAAGGGGAGCCTCAGCATAATCTGCTGGTGCGGCTATAAGGATCTCACATTCTGCTGGGCTATAAGCAGCTCAAATATCTGTGCTAGAAGGAGCTCATATATCTGCTGGCGGCTATGAAGGGAGCTCACATGCATATCTGCTGGGCTATAAGGAGCTCACTGCACATGCTACGCTTTTTTACACGACATGTGTAATAATAGCGATTAAAAGAGCAAGTATATATTATAATATAATGAAATATAATATAATATAATATAATATAAATAATATAATTATATATTATATAATATAATTAATATATATAATATATATATATATTATATATATATATATATATTATATATATACTGTAATATCATCTAATTCGATATAATAATAATAATAATTAATAATTTTAGTATGGCGGGAGGATCAACAGGATCACCTCACCCAATCTACAAACATTCGTTCGACGCGCATGCCTGCTGCCACAGCGAAATGTAACCCGTCGCTACCACACTCTTGTTGCAGACGACATCAGGATACCCGTGGCACTCCTCCTGCTCCACTCCGGCTGTCGGGCTAGACTCGCGGACAGCTGGGGGGAGGGGGCGGTGCACATCGCCGCGCGCGAGGGCCTCCTGCCCGTCGCTCAGACGCTTTGCGCGTTCGGCTGCTGCGTCGACGTCAACAACAAGCAGGGGGCGACACCGCTGCACCTCGCCGCAAAGTTCGGACACACGGAGGTCGTGCGCTGCCTCTGCCTCGCGGCTGCGCCATCGACTTCAGGTGAGTGACGTTCTCTTGATTGTAGAGGTCGCTGCGAAGCTGAGGCGTTCCGTAAAGACGGTGCAGGCGTCTGCTACACACACACACACACACCCACACGCGCGTGCACGCCACATGCCACGCGTACACGCACCCAACGCACGCTGCGACACCATGCATCGGTAACGCACACTACACATCCGCATACTATACGCACGCGACGCACGCACGCACGCACGCACGCACGCACACGTGCAATAATAACGCGTGTAATAATAAACAATGAATAGCTAATATATATTCTGTGTGTTGTGTGTGTGTGCACGGCTACTGGCTGCGTTGGTGCGCGCGTGCAGTGTGGCGAGATGCATTGCAGTTGGGTGCGTGCGCAATGCGCCCCAATCATCGAGGCGTTCCGCTATTGTGCTGCAGACTACTAATGACCCGTGGAGTGATTAACCACCGTTTAAACGCGGCTCTTAATTTGCTGTCGGCAACGAAGGCAAAGGCAGCGTCGGCTGCTGCTTGGGGAAGTAAAGGTGTGTCGGCTAGGATGCGTTATGTGTGTAATCGCTGACGCGCCGTGCGTTGATCACCGGTGTGAATTATTGAGTTAGTGGGTTGAGTGTAGGTGCATGTGTGTGGGGTTTTGCCGAGGCGGTGTTGCAATGATAGCTGTTACTGTAGTAAGAGCAGCAGCAGCAGCAGCAGCACCACCGCCACCACCAGCATAGCAAGTAGCAAGTGCAGCAGCGCGCGCAGCAGCAGCAGCAGCAGTAAGCAAAGCAGCAGGACAACCAACCACCACCAGCAGGCAGCAGCAGCAGCAGCAGCACCACCACCACCACCACCACACCACCACCACCACCACCACCCCACCACCACCACCACCACCACCACCCCACCACCACCATCAGCAGTGAGTAGTTAGCAGTATTAGTAGCAGCCATAGCAGCAGCAGCAGCAGCAGCAGTAGGCACACATCAGCAGCCAGCACCACCTCCACCACCAGCAGCAGTAGTAGCAGCAGCAGAGCACTTCATCATACATTCAGTAGGCAGCAGTAGAGCCGTTAGCAGCCAACACTATCATCGCAGTAGCAGCAGCAGTACGCAGGCGTCAGCAGCAGCACTATCATCAGCAGTAGCAGCAGCCAAGTAGCAGCAGGTAGCAGCCACTATCATCTAGCAGTAGCAGCAGCGGTGTAGCGCAGCAGTTGGAGTTCGTGGTGCTGGGTAGCAGGCAGCGTGGGTTGAGCGTGGGTGTGTGTATGTTGCGCGGCGCCGATTACGTGTCTGCATTGCCTCGTTAATTACACCTGTGATTTATTATTACACACACACACACGCGCGCGGGGCGTGGGACCCCGTGGCCGGACATAACAGATGCGTGTGCTCGTAGGGTTTCATCACGCATACCAGGGCATGCATTATCGTCATCGTCGTCGGGTGTCATCATCGTCGTTGGTCCGTCCCCGCTCACGTATCGTCATCGTCTCGTCATCGTCATCGTCGTCGTCGCTGCCATCATTATTCGGTATCTCGTCTAGACCGTGTTGTGTGCGTCGGGTGCGGTTTTCATCGTCCATGCTGTCATATTCGCGCAGTATCATGTGTATCGATCGGTGCTGTCATAGGCGTCGCCAGTGTGGTGATCGTCATCGCGGTGCTGTCATAGTCGATCGCCAGTGTCGTCCGTCATCGCGGTGCTGCATAGGCTGGTTCGCCAGCTGTCATCGTCCATGCTGTGTGCGGGTGGTGTTGGGGGTTGTCATAGGCGGGTCGCCAGTTGTCATCGGTCATCGCGGTGCTTCATAGGCGGTCCCAGTGTTCATCGTCATCGTCGCTGCTGTCATATTCGTCTACGGCAGTGTTGGCATCGTCAATCGGGCGGGTGTTCATAGTCGTCGCAGTGTGTGGCGGGTCATCGTCGGTGCTGCATAGGCGTCGCCTGAGTGTGTCATCGTCGGTTGCGTCATAGCGCGCGCAGTGTGTGTTTCATCGTCATCGTTGCGTGCTGTCATATTGGTGGTCGCCGCTCTGTGTTGCGATCGGTGGCGGGTGTCATATGTCGTGTGTCGTCCGTGGGTCATCGTCATCGTCTTGTGTGCTGTCATATTCGTCGGCGATATCATGTCATTCGTCGTGCCCCGTTTTGTCATATTTCGTCCGGGCAGTGTCATCGTCATCGTCTGGTGCCGTCATAGTGCGCGCTGTTGGGTGTCTCGTCGGATCGGTCGGTGTGTGTGGCGTGTGGGTGTCTGTATGTGTATTGCGTGCCAGTGGTCGTCTCGTTGTCAATGTTCGTTTTTCGTTCGTCGTGCGTCGTGTCTCAGTGAGCGTCCTCGGTGTTGCTCACGCACGCAGAATGCAGCGGTGCGAGTCTCCACGATCGCGCGAACCATACACCCTTAGACATTACCGACGGCGTACGCAACACACACGAGCACACGCACGCACACACGCACAAACACACATTGTAGCTGCCGAGCTGGGCCGTACGACTAAAAAAACACGCGCACGCACACTGGGGCGAGTGCTCATCCGCCGCACATGACAGACGACTGGTTTGTTGTTTGAAGGCTTTGGGCGTCTGTGTCGTGCAGCCAGAGGGGCAGCGCGGGCGTAGTCAACAGGTGCTGCTGTGTCGCGTGTCCGTCACGGCTCAGCACGCTAGCGACCCTGGCACCGTACAGTGCCTGCCTGCACCACCCCACCCTTGATGACCTTGATCCTGCCAGATAGACACTTATCCCACCGTGAACACCTTGATCCTCCTATCTCTTTATCCCATACTCCTGGGCATGTGTGTGGTGTGTGCCTTGTGTGGTTAGAAGATATAATTACTTAACGTCTTAACTTTAGTCTTAACATGTATAATCTCTGTGTTTGTTATAGTCTGTTGCCAGAAACTTTGATAAATGTAACGAGTTTTCTTAGCGCATTATAATAGTCCAGTCTACGATGAAAAGGTTCGTGTAAGACTAATCATGTTTCTGACTCGCTGTGGCTGTTCTTCTCCGTGTATGGGATTTCCCCTGCTCATCCCACACCCTAAGTGACTTGAGCCCCGCTCCCTCGTGTCACCCCACCCTTACGACATTGTTCCCCAATCTCCTGTGTGAGTGACCTTGACCCCAGCCCCCCTGTATCCCAACCTTTATAACCTGTGTACCCCCTGTATAGCCCGTGCGTTGATCACCCCACCTCCTCATGACCATGTCCCCAATCTCCTTGACATGTATGCCCCCACCATCCTAATGACCTGACCGCCACCCCTGGATGCGTGTGGCCCACCACTTAATGACCCTTGACGCCCAACCCTCGCTCACCCTTCCCTCGTACCCATAATGACCCTGACCCGTCATGCCTCTCGTTGCGTTTAGTGCACCACCCCCTCATAACCGTGATCTCCTGATGATGATTTTATTCCCACATCTAATGACATTGACTCCCACCCCTGATCCCCTACCCCCCTCCGGATAACCCTATTTTCCCACCCCTTAATACATCCTTTGATTCCTCCACCCCTTTTTGGTGAACCCTACTTGTGGTTAATCTTATGCCAAAAAAAATCCCCCGGTTGATTCTAATTTTCCCCTTACTCATAATCCTTACAGCTGACCCCCACATTAATAATCCGGGTGCACGCTATATATACTCTAATGTACGCCTAATCCCGCTCTTCCTCTGTCCTCTCTCCTGCCGGATGGTCTGCGTTCTCTCTCGTCTCTCTCTCTTCTCTCTCGCTCTCTATATCTCTCTCTCGTGCTTGCTGTCCTCTCTCTGCGGTCTCTCTCGTGCTGCGCTGTGTCTCTCTCTCCTGTCTGCTCGGGTCTCTCTCTCTTCTCCTCTCTCCGTTCTGGGGTCTGGTGTGTGTTGTGGGTCTCTCGTCGCCTTCTGTGTTTCTGGTGATGCTCTCGTGCTTCGTGGTCGTGGTCCGTGTGTGGTGTGTGTGTTGTTTGGTGGTCTTCGTTTTCCGTGGTGTCCGGTTCGCCGCTGGTCTCTCTGTGTTCTTCTGCTCTCTCTCTTTCTTCTCTCTCTCTCTCTCTCTCTCCCTCTCTCTCTCTCTCTTCGCTTCCTCTCTGCTCTCTGCTCTCTCTCTCTCTCTCTCTCTCTCTCTCTCCTCGCTCTCTCTCTCCTCTCTCCTCTCTCTTCTCTCTCTCTCTCTCTCTCTCTCTCTCTCTCTCTCTCTCTCTCTCTCTCTCTCTCTCTCTCTCTTCTCTCTTCTCTCTCTCTCTCCTTTCTCTCTCTCTCCTCTCTCTCTCTCTCTTTCTCTTACTCTTCTTCTCTCTCTCTCTCTTTCTTCCTCTCTCCCTCTCTCTCTCTCTCTCGCTCTCTCTCTCTCTCTCTGCTCTCTCTCTCTCTCTCTCTCCTCTGGCGCTCTCTCTCCTCTCTCGTCTCTCTCTCTCGTCTCGTCTCTCTCGTCTCTCTCTCTCTCTCTCTCTCTCTCTCTCTCTCTCTCTCTCTCTCTCTCTCTCTCTCTCTCTCTCTCTCTCTCTCTCTCTCTCTCTCTCTCTCTCTCTCTCTCTCTCTCTCTCTCTCTCTCTCTCTCTCTCTCTCTCTCTCTCTCTCTCTCTCTCTCTCCATCTCTCTCCCTCCCTCCTTCTCGTAATTTTAGCACATTATATTTCACATCCGTTTAGCGCTTGTTGTGCGTGCGGCGCCGTGCGCGCCCCCGCCCTCCCCCGGCGTCAACAAACCGATTATATAGGCCGTCCGTTCGATTCAGGTCGCGCAAGCTAGTGACCCATACCAACCCGTTCCGGGAGGCAGACCAGGTGTAATCCCTCCTGCCTGCTCAGGTATACGAGCATACCTGTCACACAGACACACACACAGGTGCGCGGGGCAGGCAGACAGGTAGCCGCAGTTGTCACTCTAGATGTGTGGATATATACTAGTAATATACTAGATGTGTGGGAAATTGCAGCAGTGTCGTTCCGCAGTGCATTTTACGACGCGTTTTTGATATATCTCGTTGTGATCGGTTGGCGCGTTCGTTCTTCCTGCGCTCTGACCCCAACTGTGGAGGATATTGACATTTCGGGCAAGCATATACCTGCACTGATTGCCGTAGAAGGTAACCCACACAGGTGAAGCTGTGTATCATGCTAACGAAAACACTCACCATCGTACTGAAGCGCTTGCTGTTGGTATGTTTGAATACATTCAGTGTTGTTAGGTTTAGGTCAGGGGAATGTCGGTCTATCTGTAAGATATGTCAAGTATCTTTGCTAGAACTGAGTTAGCCCTAGTACTATAGCCCTTGTTCGCTACAGTCTGTGGCCTAAAGGCCTATAGGCGAACAACGGCTATAGTACTATTGCTAGAACTAAGTGGGATTTTACTTTCACGAGTATGTCATTTCAGCATGTCACGCGCAGTGCATGTATGGGTATTTGATGTATGTCTGTTGTATCTGTTGTGTGATGTCTGTCAAGTGTGTGTATGGGTATGTGTCTGTATGCGTATTTGATGAGGGTAAAGCTTTAATTAACGTACCTGCTAATTAACACACCTGCGAATTACGCCCAGGTGAGGGATACTATACGGGCGCATACATATACATGTATTATGTTAGTAGATGCTGGCGGTGCGACGGTGTCGTTTACGGGCACAGGTGAGGTTATGACCCCCACGTACCTGTGCGTTGTTACCTGTCGGGAAGGCATACAATGGCTGCGATTGACATTCCGGGTGACAGAGCTGAGATGCGACAATGCTATCGTGTGTGTGAGGTCATAAATATAATGGGATGGTTGTCACGCGTGTGCCCTCTCGCTGTGTATTGGTGGCTGTGAAAATTCCATGTCCCTTAAGAAAGACGGGCTCGACCCCGTTCGTGTGACATTGTTGTGTGTTTGTGATCGATACTGTGTGTGTGTGTGTGTGTGTGTGTGTGTGTGTGTGTGTGTGTGTGTGTGTGTGTGTGTGTGT